CGAAACTGCTCCGGCATATTCTGCACGCAACAATACGATACATACCTTTGCCGAACATCTCCCTCACTCCTTCCCTCCCTACCGTTCTCGCCAGGTGTTTCGCATGGAGATAATCCACCAGCTGCTCATCGAACTGCCGCAGCCCACCGCCGTCATATTTGAGCATCAGCGGCCTGAACACCACGGTCTCCACATAGCTGTCCTCACGCTGCTCTCGAGGCACCTCGCTGCTCGGAGTAGAAGCCGCTGCTGCAGCTGTGCTTGGTGTGGTCTTGGGTGCGCTCGCAGCCGCCCCACGTGTGTCGGTTTCGGTGCACCGGTGCCGCAGTGCAGACGTGTTTGCTGAGGGCACAGATGCTGCTGTGGCGCTGACGTGCGGGCGGCGGCGTGTGTCATCCTCAGACGTGACATGCGTGGCGGCTGAAGATGTACTTCTCTTCTGTGCGGCCCGCTCAAGGAGATCGGCCCGCCTCTGTCGGTCTGCTGGGGATGAGATGCGGTGGGTCGTCCGCTGATGCTGCTGATCTTGCTGTCGGTCCTGCCGCTGCAGCTACTTATCGAGGAGGATGCATGCGGTGACGATGCCGACGAGAAGAAGTGCCGAGAAGATGGGAATGCTCCACCCTCCGATCAACTCCACTATGAAGTCAAAGAGCGCCATATTCATCGCATCTCACGACAAGCGGCGGAGGCGGACCAACTCGTCGCCGGTTGTCAGGTCAGCAAATGCCCAGAGTGCGTCACCTGGGAAGAAACCAGCCAACAAACGTGACCTCCTCCTCAGCGGGAGATCTGCAGCTACCAAATAGCGAGCCCCAGAGCGATCCGCGCGGCCCGCTGCCCTGTGCATTGCAAAAGGCCCTGCCTGACGAGCCTGCTTACCGAACGCAACGCGATGAAGGTGCTCGCGCCGGTGCTGCTGACTCTTCTGCTCCTCCACGTCGCACATGCCCGATATCGACAGCCCGAGAAAGAAGAGGTGCGCAGGCATCGCCACGCATACGCACTATCTCGCACTCACTTGATGAGTCTGCTTGCGTCTCTGCAGGCGGCTGACCGACGGCTGGGCAGTCCCGAGACGTGAGCACACACGACATGCACCCGCTGCAGTCAGTGGCTGGGCCGCGACTCATCGATGCGTTTGCACTGTGCAGGGGCGGCGAGATGGAGAAGCTTATAGGTGATCTGCAACAGT